TAAAATTGTTTAAAAAAATTGATTGAAAAAAATCAATTTTATTTTATTAAAAGGCGGCGCTAATGTTCACGTTTACATTATTGTGGCAACATTGTGTTAAACATGATTTTTAACAAAAACTATTAATTTTTTATTCTTTTTTTTTCATCTCCATTGGTGTTCATTCGAACGCCAATTTTCTGTGTTGAGGAAGAAAAAAACACGTTTAAACAATTAAATTAAAATTACACACCACTGACTACTGCAAATAATAAAACAAATGTTTTTTAAATTAGTTGGAATATTTTTGCAACATTTTTTTTTTGTTTGTTTTGGTTTTTGCCACCGTTTTCGGACAATTTGTTAAAGAATTTAATTTAAGAAGAAAAAAAATCCGCAAATAGAATTTATTTTTCATACCCAATGAAAAAAAAAACTCGCTTGTCTCTAAGAACCGGTATAGCGTTAAACGCCAACACGATTTTCAAAAACTATTTCAAAATTACAACAATTTTGTACAAAATCAAATCATACCACCCACAAACAACATTAATTTGAGTGAAAAACAATACTGAGACATTAAGAGCAAAAAAGTAAATTAAAAAGAAGTTACGAAAATGTAAACAGCGCACCAATGGAACCACTTGAGAATGTGACGTAAATCAGAAAAAAAACTTAAATAACAAATCAGCAACAAAAACTTGATTATGAAGAAAAAAAATGGTATTAAATATTGTCGGCAAAAGATCAATGATTTAAGGTTCACAAAACAACAATTGAACATTTAATGAAATGTAAACTAGAGCACAAAATTCGAAATCAAAGAGATTTTGAAAAAAAGATAAAGTAAGCTTGACTGTGACTTGACTATGACTTAAACTATGACTTAAAAATGACTTAACTAGACTTAACTATGACTTGACTATGACTTGACTATGACTTGACTATGACTTGACTATGACTTGACTATGGATCAGACTATAAATAGACTACAGACTTGACTGTAAACTACACTATAGACTAGACTAATAGACTAGCTATAGACTAGACTATAGACTAGACTATAGACTAGACTATAGACTAGACTATAGACTAGACTATAGACTAGACTATAGACTAGACTATAGACTAGACTATAGACTAGACTATAGACTAGACTATAGACTAGACTATAGACTAGACTATAGACTAGACTATAGACTAGACTATAGACTAGACTATAGACTAGACTATAGACTAGACTATAGACTAGACTATAGACTAGACCATAGACTATACTATAGACTAAACTATAGACAAGACTGTAGACTAGACTATGGACTAGACTATGGACTAGACTATGGACTAGACTAAAGACCAGACTATAGACTATACTAAGTATAGACTATACTATAGACTAGACTAGACTATAGACTAGACAATAGACTAGACTATATACTAGACTATAGACTAGACTATAGACTAGACTATAGACTAGACTATAGACTAGACTATAGACTAGACTATAGACTAGACTATAGACTAGACTATAGACTAGACTATAGACTAGACTATAGACTAGACTATAGACTAGACTATAGACTAGACTATAGACTAGACTATTGACTAGACTATAGACTAGACTATAGGTTACACTATAGACTAGAGTATAGACTAGACAATAGACTAGACTATATACTAGACTATAGACTAGACTATAGACTAGACTATAGGCTAGACTATAGAATACACTATAGACTAGAGTATAGACTAGACAATAGACTAGACTATATACTAGACTATAGACTAGACTATAGAATAGACTATAGACTAGACTATGGACTAGACTATAGGTTAGACTATAGACTATAGACTACACTATAGACTAGACTATAGACTACACTATAGACTAGACTATAGACTAGACTATAGACTAGACTATAGACTAGACTATAGACTACACTATAGACTAGACTATAGACTAGACTATAGACTAGACTATGGACTAGACTATAGACTAGACTATAGACTAGACTATAGACTAGACTATAGACTAGACTATAGACTAGACTATAGACTAGACTATAGACTAGACTATAGACTAGACTATAGACTAGACTATAGACTAGACTATGGACTAGACTATAGACTAGACTATAGACTAGACTATAGACTAGACTATGCTAGACTATAGACTATAGACTAGACTATAGACTAGACTATAGACTAGACTATAGACTAGACTATAGACTATACTATAGACTATACTATAGACTAGACTATAGACTATACTATAGACTATACTATAGACTAGACTATAGATTGGACTATAGACTAGACTATAGATTAGACTATAGACTAGACTTATGGACTAGACTATAGACTAGACTATAGACTAACCTATAGACTAGACTATAGTCTAGACTATAGACTAGACTATAGACTAGACTATAAACTAGACTATAGACTAGACTATAGACTAACTATAGACTAGACTATAGACTAGACTATAGACTAGACTATAGACTTGACTATAGACTAGACTATAGACTAGACTATAGACTAGACTATAGACTAGACTATAGACTAGACTATAGACTAGACTATAGAGTAGACTATAGACTAGACTATAGACTAGACTATAGACTATACTATAGACTAGACTATAGACTAGACTATAGACTAGACTATAGACTAGACTAAAGACTAGACTATAGACTAGACTAAAGACTAGACTATAGTCTAGTCTATAATCTAGGCTATAGACTAAACTAGAGGCTAAACTATAGACCTAGAACTATATATAGACTAGGGTATGTTTACCTTTACTTTGTTTTATTTATTTTACAGTTTCACAAGACTATATGCATTAATACTAAATGAACTATTTTAAAAACAAAATAATAAATATTTAAAATTTCTTAAATTCTAATAAACTCTCCCATAAATATCTAAAATTCTAAAAATATTTATGTAATGTAGTTAATACCCCGCGGTGCGTATTATCTTTATTAATTTATTGAGTGAATGATTGATAAGATTATATATTTTATACGCATATAACTAAATTGATAATTGTAAAGCATTGTATATCTGAAAGGTGTATAATTTACTAAGTGTTTGAGTGACTACTCAAACGAAATTAATTTATGCGTTTGTTATTGTAAAAGATTAATTTAAGCTGTCATAGGCCATTTCTGTGATAGATTGAATATAAACAATTGAGCAAAGGACAATGATGGTTGGTTTAGAAATTGATTATAAGACATTGCTAGTCATAGTTAGGACATAGTGTAGTTATAGAGAAGTCAAAGTGTAGTTATAATGTAGTCATAGTGTAGTTATAGTCTAGTCATAGTGTAGTCATAGTGCAGTCATAGTGTAGTTTTAGTGTAGTTATAGTCTAGTCATGGTGTAGTCATAGTGTAGCTATAATGTAGCTTTAGTGTAGTTATAGTGTAGTTATAGTGTAGTCATAGAGTAGTCATAGTGTAGTCACAGTCTAATCATAGTCAAGTCATAGTCTAGTTATAGTCTAGTTTAGTCTAGTCATAGTCTAGTCATCTAGTCATAGTCTAGTCATAGTCTAGTCATAGTCTAGTCATAGTCTAGTCATAGTCTAGTCATAGTCTAGTCATAGTCTAGTCATAGTCTAGTCATAGTCTAGTCATAGTCTAGTCGTAGTCTAGTCATAGTCTAGTCATAGTCTAGTCATAGTCTAGTCATAGTCTAGTCATAGTCTAGTCATAGTCTAGTCATAGTCTAGTCATAGTCTAGTCATAGTCTAGTCATAGTCTAGTCATAGTCTAGTCATAGTCTAGTCATAGTCTAGTCATAGTCTAGTCATAGTCTAGTCATAGTCTAGTCATAGTCTAGTCATAGTCCTAGTCATAGTCTAGTCATAGTCTAGTCATAGTCTAGTCATAGTCTAGTCATAGTCTAGTCATAGTCTAGTCATAGTCTAGTCATAGTCTAGTCATAGTCTAGTCATAGTCTAGTCATAGTCTAGTCATAGTCTAGTCATAGTCTAGTCATAGTCTAGTCATAGTCTAGTCATAGTCTAGTCATAGTCTAGTCATAGTCTAGTCATAGTCTTAGTCATAGTCTAATAATCTTTTTAGACCTTTCTAGTTTTTAGCAATTTTGGTTGGTATTTCACAATATTTTTTAATTTATAGTTTTTTTTTGTAACAAATATTTAAATATTGATAAAAACAAAATAATTTTTACAAATGCTAGAACTTAAAAAACTAATAATCATTAAAATGACATCACTCTATATACACTGGGCATTCAATGATGTGGAATTTTATAAAAATTTTACAGGAAATTAAAACTAGAAACTAAAAAAAAACAATAAACGCTATTTATTTAATGGTTTAAATGACTTTCTCTAATGGAAAACGATAAATGTTACATACAGTGGGTAATAAAATATAAAAAATCCGTTTCTAGTCAAAGTTTAAATATGAAATGTATAAAAAAACAAAATGACTTCAATTTTAAAATAAAAAAATATATATAAACAAAATGCAATCATAAATTATAAATCATATAATTCTCTAGATAATTACACACTAAATCTATACACTACTGTTTAATTAAATAATTTAATTTCATTTCATTTATATTCACTCACCTTTGGTAATGAGGCTAATACTTGTTGTTTAACATCCCAGACCAATTTATCGGAGGGAAATTGCAGACATTTGTAGACATTTAATTCGGGCACATGTATGCGCACCAGTAGCCAGCCATCCCGTGGTTCTGGCGGTGGTTCATCATCAAATCCCGGCCCTGAACTGTTGTCCATGTTGGCCGGGTTTTGTTTGACTTTGGGTGTGGGTGGGTGATACGACGTAATTTTGAATGTTTTTTATATTTTAAACGATTTATTTCAAATATAGAAATTTTTCAATAAAAAAAAAGAAAAAGTTTCTTAATCACAAAATTCTTTCTTTTTTTAGCTTTTTTACTTATAAATCTAGAAATTTGAAAAAGAAAAATTAAATTAAAACAAATTGTTTATGATTCTTAATTTCTTTTTTTTTTTTTTTGTTCGTAATGAGGTGCGAAGTTTTTATAAACAACTACACTATTTTCTCTCTTAATGTACTTTGTTTAAATGTTTTAGTTAATTTTGTATTTTTTTGTTTTAGCTTTTCATTATCTAAATATTTGCTTTATTAATTAGATTAAAATAACCGAATATTTTGTTTCGTGTTTTTAATTTTCTTATTTTATAGCTGTTGCAGAAACGCATGCCATTTGTTTTCGTAGTGTAAACATTTTTAATGTTTATATTAAAGTCCAATTATTCCGCAACTTCCCATTAGAAATTCAGGCTGCAAATAGAGAAAAGAACGAAAAAAGAACACAAATTAATGTTGTTTTAACAAATTACTTAAATAAATAATAAATTTTATGCCATCAAACACTTAAACAAATATTTTAAACTTAATACATTTATATACAAATGATTTTTGTTCTCTATTTATTAAGTAAATTAATCTTAATTAAATAAATAGTAATTAAAACAGTTGTGAGTTTTAGCTTTGTGTAAAGAAGAAAACATTATTAAATTGTTGCGAAAAACAATATTAAGAGAAAAGTAAATAAATTAACTTTGAAATTAATAACATTCATACGCTCTAGGGAACTTTAAAATATAAATTAGATTTTGTAATAAATAAATCTTAATTAAGTGATTTAAGAAATAATAAAAGAATTTTAACAAAGAAGTTTTTAGTATTGAGAAAAGGTATAGACTAGACTATAGACTAGACAATAGACTAGACTATAGACTAGACTATAGACTAGACTATAGACTAGACTATAGACTAGACTATAGACTAGACTATAGACTAGACTATAGACTAGACTAGACTAGACTACTAGACTAGACTAGACTATAGACTAGACTATAGACTAGACTATAGACTAGACTATAGACTAGACTATAGACTAGACTATAGACTAGACTATAGACTAGACTATAGACTAGACTATAGACTAGACTATAGACTAGACTATAGACTAGACTATAGACTAGACTATAGACTAGACTATAGACTAGACTATAGACTAGACTATAGACTAGACTATACTAGACTATAGACTAGGACTATAGACTAGACTATAGACTAGACTATAACTACTAGACTAGACTATAGACTAGACTAGACTAGACTATAGACTAGACTATAGACTAGACTATAGACTAGACTATAGACTAGCTATAGACTAGACTATAGACTAGACTAATAGACTAGACTATAGACTAGACTATAGACTAGACTATGACCTAGACTATAGACTAGACTATAGACTAGACTATAGACTAGACTATACACTAGACTATAGACTAGACTAAAGACTAGACTGTAGACTAGACTATAGACTAGACTATACACTAGACTATACACTAGACTATAGACTAGACTATAGACTAGACTATAGTCTAGACTACAGACTAGACTATAGACTAGTCTATAGTCTAGTCTATGGTCTAGTCTATTTATAGTCTATAGTCTAGACTATAGACTAGACTTAGACTAGACTATAGACTAGACTATAGACTAGACTATAGACTAGACTATAGACTAGACTATAGACTAGACTATAGACTAGACTATAGACTAGACTATAGACTAGACTATAGACTAGACTATAGACTAGACTATAGACTAGACTATAGACTAGACTATAGACTAGACTATAAACTAGACTATAGACTAGACTATAGACTAGACTATAGACTAGACTATAGACTAGACTATAGACTAGACTATAGACTAGACTATAGACTAGACTATAGACTAGACTATAGACTAGACTATAGACTAGACTATAGACTAGACTATAGACTAGACTATAGACTAGACTATAGACTAGACTATAGACTAGACTATAGACTAGACTATAGACTAGACTATAGACTAGACTATAGACTAGACTATAGACTAGACTATAACTAGACTATAGACTAGACTATAAACTAGACTAGACCATAGACTAGACTATAGACTAGACTATAGACTAGACTATAGACTAGACTATAGACTAGACTATAGACTAGACTATAGACTAGACTATAGACTAGACTATAGACTAGACTATAGACTAGACTATAGACTAGACTATAGACTAGACTATAGACTAGACTATAGACTAGACTATAGACTAGACTATAGACTAGACTATAGACTAGACTATAGACTAGACTATAGACTAGACTATAGACTAGACTATAGACTAGACTATAGACTAGACTATAGACTAGACTATAGACTAGACTATAGACTAGACTATAGACTAGACTATAGACTAGACTATAGACTAGACTATAGACTAGACTATAGACTAGACTATAGACTAGACTATAGACTAGACTATAGACTAGACTATAGACTAGACTATAGACTAGACTATAGACTAGACTATAGACTAGACTATAGACTAGACTATAGACTAGACTATAGACTAGACTATAGACTAGACTAGACTATAGACTAGACTATAGACTATAGACTAGAGACTAGACTAGACTAGACTAGACTAGACTAGACTAGACTAGACTAGACTAGACTAGACTAGACTAGACTAGACTATAGACTAGACTAGACTACTATAGACTAGACTATAGACTATAGACTAGACTATAGACTAGACTATAGACTAGACTATAGACTAGACTATAGACTAGACTATAGACTAGACTATAGACTAGACTATAGACTAGACTATAGACTAGACTATAGACTAGACTATAGACTAGACTATAGACTAGACTATAGACTAGACTATAGACTAGACTATAGACTAGACTATAGACTAGACTATAGACTAGACTATAGACTAGACTATAGACTAGACTATAGACTAGACTATAGACTAGACTATAGACTAGACTATAGACTAGACTATAGACTAGACTATAGACTAGACTATAGACTAGACTATAGACTAGACTATAGACTAGACTATAGACTAGACTATAGACTAGACTATAGACTAGACTATAGACTAGACTATAGACTAGACTATAGACTAGACTATAGACTAGACTATAGACTAGACTATAGACTAGACTATAGACTAGACTATAGACTAGACTATAGACTAGACTATAGACTAGACTATAGACTAGACTATAGACTAGACTATAGACTAGACTATAGACTAGACTATAGACTAGACTATAGACTAGACTATAGACTAGACTATAGACTAGACTAGACTAGACTATAGACTAGACTAGAGACTAGACTAGAGACTAGACTCGACTATAGAATACACTCTAGACTGTAATAAAGACTAAGCTATAAGCTATAATATAGACTATACTTTAGGATAGACTAGATTGTAGACTAGACTGTAGAGGCTACACTATAGACTGTAATGAAGACTAAACTATAAACTTAAATATAGACTTGAAACTAATTACAAGATACAGTGGACAAAAGAGGAAATAAATTTAATTTCAGTCAGTTTAATGTATACATTTGATATTAGTTGTGATTAATTATAGTAATTTTGTGTATGTAAAATTGATTCAAATACCTTAAAATATATCTATAGTAGACTATGTGTTGCAACAGTTTTCATTAAATTACAAAATTTGTACTTTTGTTGCATTTACCTCAATTTATTTAAAGAGTCAAATTGACTAAAATAAAGTGCAGTAAAAGTGTTTTTGTGTTTTTTTTTTAGTTTCAACAAATATTACACACAACAATATGTTTGTTTTCGTTCGTTTATTGTTTATTTATGATCGAAGGCATGTTGCACGTTGTGCCACTTTAACGCAAAAATTTTAATTCAATTCGTTGTGTTCGGGGTAGTATTTTTATTTTCGTTTTTTATTTTTCGATTTTATAGGTTTATATGTCATTCATTCATTTAAAATTCACAAAACCCAAACGGAAACACAATGGATCTGTAAAGCAATTGTTTAAACAAAAAATGGATGGTGGTTTTTCAGTAGTTTTAAATGTGAAAAAATGAAGAACAGAAAAGTAAAATTATTTATTTCATATAGATACAAGTTATTTTTGGGAAGAACTGTGTGCATTTCTGTGGTTTTTTAAAAGAATGGTAGGGGCATTAAGTTTTCGTGTTTAGTTTTACAAGAAGTTGTATTATAAAATACTTTATCGAAAATTCATAGAACTGAACTAGAACTGAACTAGAACTGAAACTAGAACTGAACTAGAACTGAACTAGAACTGAACTAGAACTGAACTAGAACTGAACTAGAACTGAGCTAGAACTGAACTAGAACTGAACTAGAACTGAACTAGTACTGAACTAGAACTGAACTAGAATTGAACTAGAACTGAACTGGAACTGAACTGGAACTGAACTAGAACTGAACTAGAACTGAACTAGAACTGACTAGAACTGAACTAGAACTGAACTAGAACTGAACTAGAACTGAACTAGAACTGAACTAGAACTGAACTAGAACTGAACTAGAAATGAACTAGAACTGAACTAGAACTGAACTAGAACTGAAACTAGAACTAACTAAAGAACTGAACTAGAACTGAACTAGAACTGAACTAGAACTGAACTAGAATTGAACTAGAACTGAACTAGAACTGAACTAGAACTGAACTAGAACTGAACTAGAACTGAACTAGAACTGAACTAGAACTGAACTAGAACTGAACTAGAACTGAACTAGAACTGAACTAGAACTGAACTAGAACTGAACTAGAACTGAACTAGAACTGAACTAGAACTGAACTAGAACTGAACTAGAACTGAACTAGAACTGAACTAGAACTGAACTAGAACTGAACTAGAACTGAACTAGAACTGAACTAGAACTGAACTAGAACTGAACTAGAACTGAACTAGAACTGAACTAGAACTGAACTAGAACTAGAACTGAACTAGAACTGAACTAGAACTGAACTAGAACTGAACTAGAACTGAACTAGAACTGAACTAGAACTGAACTAGAACTGAACTAGAACTGAACTAGAACTGAACTAGAACTGAACTAGAACTGAACTAGAACTGAACTAGAACTAGAACTGAACTAGACTGAACTGAACTAGAACTGAACTAGAACTGAACTAGAACTGAACTAGAACTGAACTAGAACTGAACTAGAACTGAACTAGAACTGAACTAGAACTGAACTAGAACTGAAACTAGAACTGAACTAGAACTGAACTAGAACTGAACTAGAACTGAACTAGAACTGAACTAGAACTGAACTAGAACTGAACTAGAACTGAACTAGAACTGAACTAGAACTGAACTAGAACTGAACTAGAACTGAACTAGAACTGAACTAGACTGAACTAGAACTGAACTAGAAACTGAACTAGAA